AAGCTAATTCAGGACTTCTGAAAAAACGTCTGGCTGTATTGCCGTCATTGGTTGTCCTAAAACCGGGCTTAGGCATATCAACCAGATGACCCATGTTACGACGAAATTTTTCTTATATTTCTTTCTTTCTACTTTTTTCTACATATCTCTAATCTGTATGCAATTTGTAAAATGCGCTCAAACGCTTTTATCCACGCATGGAGGCTTGAAATTCCACATTCTAACTTATCTTCTTTTATCACTCGTTTTAATACGACATCTATGTCATTCATTTACTTCGGAGAAGCTCCACAAAGGTGACAGTTTTGACCGGGCGTATCAGATAAGGAGCTGCAAATTTTACCATCAATCATGGTTAAAGAAAATAAAGGAATAACAGGGTATCAGATTTGTTTGAAATTCAGTAGTCATTGGAGGCAGTTCATCTATTTGTTTTTTAATGTTTTCAATTTCATTTTTGACAAATTCTTTTGTTTCTTTATGAAAAATTATTTTTACTGGTCGACAGTATTTTGTTGACGATGTTGATTCATTTTGCCATATAACAAATTCCTGTTTATCTTGTTGTACAGCAATGTATTTTAACGCTTTTTCAGCCGTAATTTTTGTTGGTAGTTGTTGTGAAGGAGAATCTGACAAACATATTTTTTTTCTTTTTGTGACCCTCTTAGGAGATAAACTAGACACTTGTTTAATTATATAAGCTGCATCTTTTTTTCCCGTTCGCCTAAGACTTATTCTTGATGCGTAAGTCAGTTCATCTTGCGCAAACGTCTAGACGGGTGGACCAACTTTTCTTCGTTTAACTGAATCACTACAAATATCACAAGATTTTTCTGGTCTTCCAAAACGTGATAGGGTTTTTTTGGGTGGAAGTCCCTTAAAAACAATTTTCTCGCCGAGCCATTTGTCATTCTTTGAGATAAATATCTTTTTAATACGATGGCATTTTTTCCATTTTAACATTAATTATTCATTATAATTCACTGCAAAAGTTTTCAATTGTTTTCTTAATTAAATTCTTAATTAAACACTGCTCTTCTTCCTTACGTTTGGAAAACGGTCCCTGCTCGGGCGCCAAAATTTGCGACGTCCTTTTTCTGGTTCGGTCCTAGGAAAGTGGTATATCTCCTAGAGCGTTCAACCAATTTGAATATTTTTTTATGTTTCTTGTTTGAAAGAGCAAAACATGCTTTTTTAAAAGATATTTTCCTTAAGACCGCTTGGTTTCAAACAAATAAGCTAGAGGGCGTTATCTGCAGCGATTACATATTGCAACGGGTGGCGATATCGAGATGCAGTTTTCACTAAAATTTAGCAAATTTTAAAGTGACTAGGGGTCTGTGAAGTAAATAGTATCGTTCCATTTAACTTTTCTTCAAAAATCACAAAAATATGTAATCGCTGCAGATAACGTCCTCTAGCTCATTTGTTTTAAAGCAGACGGTCTTACTGAAAATATCTTTAAAAAGAGCATAAAATGCTCTTTCAAACAACACCGAAAATATTCAAATCGGTTGAATGGTCTAGGAGATATTAAAATGTAAACATATGAAAACGCATTGGCCTCCCCCTCCCTTATTATGACAGATATGAGAAATATCGCAAAACAAAAGCGATGCGGTATTATCCAAGCTATTAAATGATGTTGTCAAAGTTATAGCTCAT